CAGCCATATGATGATATTCCCGGCATACTAAAACTCATCGTGAAATGCAAACCACCCTGTGACTGACTTCGGTCTTATTATCTCCACTGACAAAACTAAGGTGTTCAACAAACAAGCTGGCAGTAACCGCAAACGCGGCCCCGCCAAGTTCGGGTGACAGGTAACAAATAATTATTGACTATGTTTCTTCTTTAACATTATCTTGGTAAGTCGCCCTTGTACCCTTACCTGCCATACAACAGCTAACCCGCCAATGTACTGACAGACTGGAGACCCTAGAAGTGTAGTGGGTACAGCCCGCACTATGGTGCTAATATTAGAATTGTTAAAACAATGCACGGGCTATATAAGATCTCTGATAGATACCACACCAGCCCCGGTCATTCGTGACTGAAAGGCGCTGACAAGCTTCGAGAAAATGCAAAAAATAAAGCCTTGAATTATCCTAGGATGTCCTATGAGAACTCAAAGTACTTAATATGAGTGAAAGAACTAGGTATACCCAATGTTAAAGATCGAATAATTGAAGTCAACCTCATGATGTTCCTGAGGCTTGCGTGGTGATCCTGATAACATTGTTTCCTTAAAATTGCTAGAATGTATGAACCATGGGACTGTTGAGTTTAAATGGATCCAAACTACAGCTACACATGTGAAGATGTTTAATTAGACCACCTGCACAAAGTTGAGACACAACAGCGCTTGCCACCCTGGAAGTGAGTTCCCCTGATATTTTCCACAATACCGACGTGTATCCGCCTCTAAAAAAAATTAATTATACAAAAGCATTTATCTCCAACACACTGCCAAATTGAGAGCTCTTGAATACATACACACTCTACAGACTGATGATAATATCACACAGACCATCTACACTGATGGGATCTCTAACACCGCTTGTGGGAGGGCTGGAAGTGCTATTGTACAGACTAACCTGACGGTAATAATATAATTGAGAAAAGGAGTTAGAATTAACAACTGGGCATCCACTCTACAAACTGAATTAGTTGCTATACTCACAGCTATTAAATTCATTGAAACCACTGTTACTGACAGTCTCATCATCATTGACTCTCTATCCTCACTACTTGCCCTTGGTACCTGACTGAAGCTTTGCCACGCTCTTGTCTCTGAAGCCAGACACAAATATGCGTGCCTTGTTGACCGGGATGTCAAGGTCAAACTGTTGTGGATCCTCACATAGGCCTCATAAAACATGACAGAGTTGATACCTCGCTAAACTCAAGTGCTCCAACAAAAGACACTAAGTTGAATATAATTTAACGCGCGACCTTAAAACTGTAATTAGAAAGAACTACGATGAGTTTGGATGCAAGCAGACCAGTGCAAACAGGCACTATTTATCCATAGAAGGGCGCCAGAGAGATGTATCATGAAACATGCATAAGGGAGAGTGCGGGCCACATCACTAGATTACAAGATGCTGTGAAACTAGATTAAGGTTAGGATATAAGTACCTTTGGCAGTATGTTCTCAACCAGAGATGTAAACAAAATTCAATGTAAAGGTGTGTGGCCACACATATGGTCACACACTTGAACACTACGTCCCTTGACTGTGTGAAGATAGAACCTTTAGGGACAGGTCCAAGCACACTGTGTGTAAAGGCACAAATAATTCATCTCTCAATGGCAAGATAGCTGACATATTAAGATTGTATCCACTTTATGCACTTAGTAACTATATCAGTTCTTGCGTACAGAACCAAAATACGCAATGTGCTTGAATACCTCACGTAAAAATGCGGAATAACAAAGCGTGAGGCCAGACATACTGCCTCACACGCCTGTACTCTCACGCATTTGTGAATAAGTTACCCTTTTATGTATAGAACTAAACAAATAATGTAAATGAAATATCAGGTAACATTCAGTGCCATAACATCCTGACAAGTTAATTATTATGACCCTTGTAAATCCCCCATTTCATCCTTTAGCTACTACAACAGATGAGTGTGGGGTGCACACAAAAGTAGCCATGTAAACGGCAAAATCAAAATCAAATTCCCCTACACAATCAAACCAAAAATTCAAAGTCTAACCTAACATAACCTAGTTTAATTTGACCTAACTAATACCTTAACCTAACCAAGCATAACCTATTTTAATCTACCCTAACATAACATACCTTAACTTTACCTAACATAACCTAGCTTAACTTGACCAAACCTAACTTAATCTGGCTTAACCTGACTTAACTTAACCTAGCTTAAAATAGCCTAACCTAATTTAACCTACCCTAACTAAACCTATCCTAACCTTATCTAACCTAGCTTAACCTAACCAAACCTAACTTAACCTATCCTATCCTAGCCTAATCGAATCTAACCTAGCCTAACCTAATCTAACCTAACCAAACATAACTTCACCTATCCTAACCTAGCTAACCTAACTTAACCTATCCTATGCTAACCTATCCTAACCATAATGTGTTGTCTAATGGTAGACCCTGCTGCTATATGGCATCATGAATATTGTGACCAAGTCCCAGGTTGCTGATCTGACTTTCTGCCTCATTTACACACAATTGCAGGGTCTCAATTGTTTCTCTTACTATTGACAACACAACATACTATACATATAGCGTTTCTCACTATTGATTATTGTTTTTCGTTTCTTTATTATCATTATTACAGTGTTGTTATTATTATTATTATTATTATTTTATTTTACTTTTTATTATAAATTTTATTTACTATGAATTACTATTATTATTAAATTTTCGCCCCTCGGCCCCGATGTGGGTCGGTGGCCTGTGCCCGGGTGTGCTGGTCCCCGTCAGAAAATCTAACTTGAACTAAGCTATCCTATTCTAAGTTAACCTAGCCTTTCCTAACCGAATCTATCCTGGCCTATCCTAACCTAAACCTCATCTAAATATTTCCTTACTACCAATGGATACTCGCTCTAAAGGACGCCAATATTACTAAACCTCAGTCCTAATGGTTAACTCAGGATTGGAGGGACTGAATGATAACTACAGTACAAGACTCAATAACGTAAGGACAAAACAGGTGTGTGTGTGTGTGCGTGCGTTAAGAAGCGGGTATATAATTATACAATTTGGTGTACAAAGTAAGAATTGTTCTCTTTTTACAATACAAGAATGACATCGAGTCAATTTTGATGCAATAGATATTAGTATTTTTTATATATTTTAGTTAAAATGAATGATAAATAATAAATAGTAAAGGAATTAAATAATGGATTTGAGTTTAAATGTTTTAAAGACGAAGTTTAAAATTTTTGTTTATCGTGTATCACCAGCTGCTCCTTGTACTGATCTTGATGAAACTTAGCAGGAAGAGTCTCTAAACCTTGGGCAGTCTCCTTCAAGGTTAAGATCTTGAGAGGAAAACAAAGGAATTGGTGAAATAAAGATATTAAAAACATTTGCATTTCTTGGAGGCATTTATCCAAGAAAACCACGAACAGTGGATGAAGGACAAATTTAACCGTTACTGTAGGTGGTCATCATCTCCCCCAGGTCCATGAGTATGTTCGGGTATTGTTAATGTTCATTTGGTCCACAGATGGCGCCACCGAGAACGACTTTTTTTCTGTTAATTATGTAAAGGACCGCAGCTGGTGGGAGAGAAAGTGTCGGTTTAGACGAGTTTGTCAGCCGGTCTCGAGTTGATAAATATCTTGGCAAGTTGGACCGTCCAGATGGGTACAATGACTTTAACACATCTTGAGAGATTCTTAGTGACGCTGACCTGAATCTCACTTAAGTTCGCCTCAAGTGAATAAGTTTCATTAAGACTAAACACAAGGCAAGGAAGGTCACCGTTTTCCTCTATGGTATGTCTCAAGTGTCACCAATAAATTCTCAACCATTTTTCTTTTTCTGTGGAAGTTATCCTGAATTCCAGTTCGATCACTACTAAAGAATTATTTATCTAAGATCGAATTTGCCGTCACTGTGTTAGCTGCTGCCGGCTTAATAAATTTTTCCGTTAGTTAGAAAATTCTGTAAAAAAAAAATCGAGACATGTTTAGAGGTCGTAAAGAAGTGTCATTGTTTATCTGACACGTGAACTGACAGGTTAAGGTCTACCACACAACAAAATGAGTTAACTCGTCCATGACACGAATTTAGTTTATGTTCCTTGAATCCAGGTTAAGGCAGCGTGCGTACAGTCGTCTGCGGGAGTTATTACTTCACCTGTACCTGTTCCCTTCTTTATACCTCTACTTGTGTCTATGCTTCTACCGTGTAATAAATGTACTTGTATTTGTATCTGTACAGGTATTGAATTTAATATTACTGCATTTTATCTTGAGTTAAGATTTTGATCACAATTTACAGTAAAGATAATTCAATAAATTTAGGACATCAATAGGCATCATTCATAAAGAAATTTATTATTAAAAATCTCATACATTTGTCAGACATTTTCCTAACTTGAAAGAATAAATCAATAGAACAATCGAACATATACTGTATAATACATGATGGAATGTTTGCGGGCATAACAGAGGAGAGTACCTCCTCTCCTCATGCACCTCAACACCTTGGTTAAAATAACAGAAAAACACCAACCAAAAGAAACTGAAATTTTATATAACAAATATTTGTCATGTGTTTTGATGAGGGGAGACATCTGCCGGTGACAACAGGTGTTAGATATGTATATGTCGATTTTCTTCTAAATTGAGTCTGGAGAAAAATAAAGATTATAAGTAAATCATTAAATATGTTGAAATGTATGAGTAAATATTTTGAAGTAAGAAATTAAATCTGGTAATATATATAAATATATAAATATGGGTGTGATGGGGTGATGTGACACAGGTGAGGAAGGGAATGAGGTGGTTCAGGTAACTTGTATCACAGAGGGCGGCGTGATGAGCTGTGGTGTCCATGATGGGAACACTTCACGACCTCTTCTTACACAGTTGCGTCACAGATGTACAGTACTGTAGCACAAGGGAGTACCACAATGGTGCAAAGGTGGATCAGAAAGGTGCATTGCACAGGTTCCGGTTGATAATTATGTGAAGGTGTGGGTAGACGGTTGAGGTATGTTAAATACAGGTAGATGGACTCCAGCTCGTGCTGGGTGATGGACCCAGCGGAGTGTCAGTGTCAATATCTTCTTAGAAAATGAAGATAATTTCTCTAGTAGGTTGTCTGGACGATGTACTTATGGGTGCAATAACTTAGCCAACTTCTTCTCAATGCGAGTAACAAGAGATTCCTGTGACAGGCTTTCTGATGAACTGCTGTCCGATGAGATACCAAAATCCTCTGCTCCTTTTATGAGCCAGGGGTCAGACAGATACTTGTACACCTCCCTCACACCTGAGCGCTTATCAGGTTTGGGCTGCAGAAGGCGTCGTAGAAGGCGAAGAAGACGAGGAGTGAAACACTTGAAGTGTGGAGGTAACTTAGCGGTCTTACGTTTGAGCCAGGCCACCCATGAGTTGTAATGTTGGTCTGTGATGTCGGCTGACGACCAAGGATATGAACCCGTCAGGCATACATAGATGAGGATGCCAAGTTGCCAGGCGTCCTGGGCAGTGTGCACGTGGTAGCCCTCATTGTACACGGTGAGGCTCACCTCTGGTGGAGCCCAAGGTGACTGAACGTTCTGATTCTTCACGAAGGCTCCAACTCGCTGTGTGCTGCCGAAGTCACCCAACTTGAAGCGAGTCACTTCCCTGTTGAACACGAAGATGTTGTCGATACAAACATCCCGATGAACCAAGTCCTCCTTATGCATGAACTCTAGGGCTTGAGTAACCTGTTCTGCTGCTCTCTTGGCTCGTGCTTCACCTACACCTCCTACTCTCACAAACTTGGACAGATCGCTGATTGGGGCAAATTCTTGTGCAAAGGCGTAAGAGTCATATGTCTCAAAGGGTTTCATCGAAACATTTTACAATGTTGGGATGAGAACTGAGGGAGTAGTTGAAGCAGAACTCGCGAACAAAGTCTTCCATGGTCGTGGTGTCCTTCTGTACACACTTGAGAGCCACGTTGTCGCCAGACTGGAGGCGTCTGGCGCCGTATACCTTGACGCCGCTGTTCTCCGTTAGGAGTCTCACGTCACAATACTGACGGTCCACCTCCACCCTTGGCAGTTCCAACATTTTAATGCTGTCAAAGCTAACGTTGCTGCTTCTCCTGCTGCTGTAGGTACTGCTGTTTCTCCTGCTACTGTAGGTGCTGCTATTTCTGCTGCTTTTCCTGGTGCTGTAGCTGCTGTTGGTTTCAGCCATCTCTGAAGATAAGGAAACAAAGATCTGTTTGAAGGTGCTGTTAATATAACTAAAAAGTAAACGTATAATCATAAGCAAGATTGAAGTTATGTTTCAGCAGTACAGGTTTGACCCAGACTCTACCAGGAGGAGGGAGAACACCTACCTAATATTGATGGTTGTTGGGGGGAAGAAGCTGTTGTTTCAGTATCACGTGACCAAACTGTAGACCTCAAGAGTCGAGGTTGTGTGTGACCGACGATCACTGAGACTTAAATCCACTAGAAGGGAGCTTGTACTCTCACTGGTACTCCAAGTTTTCCACTATATTTTACAAGGTGAGGGTTCACCAAGGCAGTGGGTTTCTCAAGCTAGAATGCAGCACTTGTCTCCACGACGGCTAGGTTCAGTCTGCTGCCTTAGCGACAACCCCCATGTCCTTTTATACCCGGTGGGGTCTCGTCCTGTCACCCACGAATTCACTGTACTCAGTAACTGAGACAAGAGATCACCTCTTCCCCAAACCAGCTGTGGCTCTCTTCCCGATATAGCGCCTGCTGTCAGATGTTGCAACCTGGCGCGAGTGTGAACAAGCCAACGCCTGTAACATCTGGTTGGGTCCTGCTGCCTCGTGCATCAGACTCTGCAGGTGCAATAATCCCTATTTGAAATTGGATCTTTGTTATCATTTACTCAAGTTTGTTTATCCCCTGTGTGTTGTTTACTGCTATGTCTCAACAAGAAAGACAAAGAGTAATGCATTGCCAAGTGAGTTGTGGCTTCTTCTGACCCAGTGCACTACGTGTACATTCTGTCCGTTTGTCTGTCTGCTTCTATGTGTTTGTCCTTTTATTTGTCCGCCTGTCTGTTTTGTCCTTTTATTTGTCCGCCTGTCTGTTTGTCTGTCTGTCTGTGTGTGTCTGTCTGCTCTCCTCAGCCGCTTCTCTTACATTCTCCATCTATGTGTTTATTTGCACGTCACTCATTAGTGTATATACAGTATACGTATATGAGTGTTTGTTTGTCTTTATTTTTCTGTCTATATGTTTATCTGTCTATTCATTTATCTCATTCTCTTTTAATTTTTTGTCTACCTGTCTCTCGTTTAGCTGTCTATCTCCTTCCTAATCTATTTATCTTTCGTTTCTCTCCCCTTCTCTCTCTCTTCTTCAACACATCAAGTCAGCTGAATAACAATTAGGGGAGGAGGTGAGGTGCTGGTGGGGAGGAGGTGAGGTGCTGGTGAGAGGGGTGCTGGTGGGGAGGAGGGGTGCTGGTGGGGAGGTGGGTGCTGGTGGGGAGGGGGGAGGTGTGTAGGAGGTGGGGTGCTGGGGGGGAGGTGGGTGCTGGTGGGGAGGTGGGGTGCTGGTGGGGGAGGGAGGTGAGAGGTGCTGGTGGGGAGGGAGGTGAGGTGCTGGTGGGGAGGAGGGGTGAGGTGCTGGTGGGGGAGGGAGGTGAGGTGCTGGTGGGGGAGGTGAGGTGCTGGTGGGGGAGGGAGGTGGGGTGCTGGTGTGAGAGGGAGGTGAGGGTGCTGGTGGGGGAGGAGGTGGGGTGCTGGTGAGGGGAGGGTGAGGTGCTGGTGGGGAGGAGGTGGGGTGCTGGTGGGAGGAGGTGAGGGTGCTGGTGGGGAGGTGTGAGGTGCTGGTGGGGAGGAGGTGGGAGTGCTGGTGGGGGAGGGAGGTGAGGTGCTGGTGAAGGGAGGTGAGGTGCTGGTGGGGGAGGGAGGTGGTGCTGGTGGGGAGGGTGAGGGTGCTGGTGGGGAGGAGGTGGGGTGCTGGTGGGGAGGTGAGGTGCTGGTGGGGGAGGGAGGGTGAGGTGTGGTGGAGGGAGGTGGGGTGCTGGTGGGGGGGAGGGGTGGAGGGGTGCTGGTGGGGGAGGGTGGGGGGTGCTGGTGGGGGGGGTGAGGGTGCTGGTGGGGAGGTGAGGTGCTGTGGGAGGGAGGTGAGGTGCTGGTGGGGAGGAGGTGAGGTGCTGGTGGGAGGGTGGGGTGCTGGTGGGGGAGGTGTGCTGGTGGGGAGGTGAGGGTGCTGGTGGGAGGTGAGGTGCTGGTGGGGGAGGAGGTGGGGGTGCTGGTGGGGGGAGGTGGGGTGCTGGTGGGGAGGAGGGTGGGGGGTGCTGGTGGGGAGAGGTGGGGTGCTGGTGGGGGAGGGTGGGGTGCTGGTGGGGGAGGAGGTGAGGTGCTGGTGGGGGGGGGGAGGTGAGGGTGCTGGTGGGGGAGGGTGTGAGGTGCTGGTGGGGAGGAGGGGTGAGGGTGCTGGTGGGGGGAGGAGGGTGGGGTGCTGGTGAAGAGGAGGTGAGGTGCTGGTGGGGAGGAGGTGAGGTGTGGTGGGGAGGAGGTGAGGTGCTGGTGAGAGGAGGTGAGGTGCTGGTGGGGGAGGGGGTGGTGAGGGGGAGGTGAGGTGCTGGTGGGGAGGAGGTGAGGTGCTGGTGGGGGAGGTGGGTGCTGGTGGGGGAGGGTGAGGGTGTGGTGGGGGAGGAGGTGGGGGTGCTGGTGAGGAGGGAGGGTGAGGTGCTGGTGTGGGGAGGTGAGGTGCTGGTGGGGGTGGGAGTGCTGGTGGGGAGGAGGTGGGGTGCTGGTGGGGAGGGTGGGGTGCTGGTGGGGAGGTGGGGGTGCTGGTGAAGGGGTGGGGTGCTGGTGAGAGAGGGTGAGGTGCTGGTGGGAGGAGGTGGGGTGCTGGTGGGGAGGTGGGGAGTGCTGGTGGGGAGGAGGTGAGGTGCTGGTGGAGGTGGGGTGCTGGTGAAGGAGGAGGTGAGGTGCTGGTGGGGGAGGTGAGGTGCTGGTGAAGAGGTGAGGTGCTGGTGGGGAGGAGTGAGGTGCTGGTGAAGGGTGAGGTGCTGGTGGGGAGGAGGTGGGGTGCTGGTGGGGAGGGAGGTGGGGTGCTGGTGGGGAGGAGGTGAGGTGCTGGTGGGGAGGGAGGGGGTGGGGTGCTGGTGAGGTGGGGTGCTGGTGGAGGGGAGGGTGGGGTGCTGGTGGGGAGGTGAGGTGCTGGTGGGGGAGGAGGGTGAGGGGGTGCTGGTGGGGAGGAGGTGGGGTGCTGGTGGTGGGGAGGAGGTGAGGTGCTGGTGGGAAGGAGGGTGAGGTGCTGGTGGGGGAGGAGGTGAGGTGCTGGTGGGGAGGAGGTGAGGTGCTGGTGGGAAGGAGGGTGGGGTGCTGGTGGGGAGGAGGTGAGGTGCTGGTGGGGAGGAGGTGAGGTGCTGGTGGGAAGGAGGTGAGGTGCTGGTGGGGGGAGGGGTGAGGTGCTGGTGGGGGAGGAGGTGGGGTGCTGGTGGGAGGGGATGGGGTGCTGGTGAGGAGGAGGTGGGGTGCTGGTGGGAGGGAGGTGAGGTGCTGGTGGGGGAGGGTGGGGGTGCTGGTGGGGAGGAGGTGAGGCTGGGGGAGGGGAGGGGAGGGGAGGTGCTGGTGGGGAGGAGGTGGGGAGGGTGCTGGGGGAGGAGGGGGAGGTGCTGGTGGGGAGGAGGTGAGGTGCTGGTGGGGAGGAGTGAGGTGCTGGTGGGGAGGGGAGGTGAGGTGCTGGGGAGGGGAGGGGAGGTGGAGGTGCTGGTGGGGAGGAGGTGAGGTGCTGGTGGGGAGGAGGTGAGGTGCTGGTGGGGAGGAGGTGAGGTGCTGGTGGGGAGGAGGTGAGGTGCTGGTGGGGAGGAGGGTGAGGTGCTGGTGGGGAGGAGGTGAGGTGCTGGTGGGAGGAGGTGCTGGTGGGAGAGGTGGGGTGCTGGTGGGGAGGAGGAGGTGCTGGTGGGGAGGAGGTGAGGTGCTGGGGAGGAGGTGAGATGCTGGTGGGGAGGAGGTGAGGTGCTGGTGGGGAGGATGTGAGGGGTGTGTTCTTAATGGGTGAATGGAGAGATAGAGAGGCAAGGCTAGAATGCTCCTCCTGCATGTTAGAGGTTAGTGCTGTGTGGTTTGATGTGATGTGTTATAGCGCGTTTTTTCCCAGCTGAGAAAAGATGCCCCGCCCCCTCCTCAAAAGTTACAGCTGATTGGCTGTTGCAAACCTGTCCGATTTCGTCCTGAAATAATGATGTATTTCTAAACGAGTTTATTCATAATCGTTGGGATGACTGTTTCTGACGAGAAAGATATTTAGCTAAATTATATAAAGATACAAACATTCATTATTTCAAACATAAGCACGTAGGAAGTTTATCAGAAGTATTATACATGAATTGATTGTTAAACTCTGGTAGCAAATTTACACTTTCGGAGGACGCAATTAATATATATTTATTTTTACCCACAATAAGGCATACTAAGACAAATTACGTATCAGTAATACTACATTATGCAAAAACAACATTTCAAACGTTCAGAATCACATTGAAATATTACACGACCGTTAGCAGAGGCGGGAAATATGACTGCTTACAACTTCATATGGTGATGTGGTGTAGTATGATGTGTTACTGGGTGTTGTGTGGTGTTAATGGGTGTTGTGTGATGTGATGTGTTACTGGGTGTTGTGTGATAATAATAATAATAGTAATAATAATAATAATAATAATAATAATAATAATTAACGGTTTATTGAAACAGTTTGCAGCCCGAAGGCTGAAAATATACATTGGACATAAATGGACTTATTACATACATTGGTGGTTTAACAAAAGCCCTCATTAGAGAAAGGTGAAGGAACATACAGATTAATGTTTACACACGTAGATCATGTGAGCTGAGGTGTTGAATTGCAGACATGTAGTGTAGTAACTCCCTCACAGATGGCGTTACGAGGGGCCTGATGATATAGTAATTCCCTCACAGATGGTGTTATGAGGGGCCTGATGTGGTGTAGTAATTCCCTCACAGATGGTGTTATGAGGGGCATCACGTGGAGTACTAGTTCCCTCACAGGTGGTGTTGTGAGGGGCTTGACGTGGTGTAGTAATTCCCTCACAGATGGTGTTACGAGGGGCCTGATGATATAGTAATTCCCTCACAGATGGTGTTATGAGGGGCCTGATGTGGTGTAGTAATTCCCTCACAGATGGTGTTATGAGGGGCATCACGTGGAGTACTGTTCTCACAGGTGGTGTTGTGAGGGTGGTGTAGTAATTCTCACAGATGGTGTTATGAGGGGCCTGATGATATAGTAATTCCCTCCAGATGGTGCTGAGGGGCCTGATGTGGTGTAGTATTCCCCTCACAGATGGTGTTATGAGGGGCCTGATGTGGTGGTAGTACCCTCACAGATGGCAATGAGGGGCCTGATGTGGTGTAGTAATTCCCTCACAGATGGTGTTATGAGGGGCATCACGTGGTGTAGTAATTCCCCTCACAGATGGTGTTATGAGGGGCCTGATGTGGTGTAGTAATTCCCTCACAGATGGTGTTATGAGGGGCCTGATGTGGTGTAGTAATTCCCTCACAGATGGTGTTATGAGGAACTTCACATGATGCTGTAGCAACTCATTCACTATGTGGTGTCGTAGCATCATGGGAACACAACGTGGTTAGTTGTCACAGGACTTCACTCACTCAAGTGGGTGAGGTGTGGTCCCAGGCTTCTCTATCGTGGTGTGGTGTGATGTGTTACTGGGTGTTGTGTGGTGTGGTGTGGTGTGTTACTGGGTGTTGTGTGGTGTGGTGTGATAGTGGGTGTTGTGTGGTGTGGTGTGATGTGTTACTGGGTGTTGTGTGGTGTGGTGTGTGATGTGGGTGATGTGATGTGTTACTGGGTGTTGTGTTGTGTGGTGTGGTGTGTTACTGGGTGTTGTGTGGTGTGGTGTGTTAGTGGGTGTTGTGTTGTGTTGTTTTATTGGGTGTTGTGTTGTGTGGTGTGATGTGTTACTGGGTGTTGTGTGGTGTGGTGTGTTAGTGGGTGTTGTGTTGTGTTAGAGGGTGTTGTGTTGTGTTAGTGGGTGTTGTGTTGTGTTAGTGGGTGTTGTGTGGTGTGGTGTGTTAGTGGGTGTTGTGTTGTGTTGTTTTATTGGTGTTGTGTTGTGTTACTGGGTGTTGTGTGGTGTGATGTGTTAGTGGGTGTTGTGTGGTGTGATGTGTTAGTGGGTGTTGTGTGTGTTAGTGGGTGTTGTGTTGTGTTAGTGGGTGGTGTTGGGTGTTGTGTTGTGTTAGTGGGTGTTGTGTTGTGTTAGTGGGTGTTGTGTTAGTGGGTGTTGTGCTAGTGGGTGTTGTGTTGTGTTAGAGGTGTTGTGTTAGTGGGTGTTGTGTTGTGTTAGGGGTGTTGTGTTAGTGGGTGTTGTGTTTTGTTAGGGGTGTTGTGTTAGTGGGTGTTGTGTTAGTGGGTGTTGTGTTGTGTTAGGGTGTTGTGTTGTGTTAGAGGTGTTGTGTTAGTGGGTGTTGTGTTAGTGGGTGTTGTGTGGTTAGAGGGTGTGGTGTTGTGTTAGTGGGTGTGTGTTGTGTTAGAGGTGTGGTGTTGTGTTAGTGGGTGTTGTGTTAGTGGGTGTTGTGCTGTGTTAGTGGGTGTTGTGTTGTGTTAGTGGGTGTTGTGTGTAGAGGGTGTTGTGTTGTGTTAGTGGGTGTTGTGTTGTGTTAGTGGGTGTTGTGTTAGTGGTTTGCAGTTGTTGTGTTGTGTTGGTGTTAGTGGGTGTTGTGTTGTGTTAGGTGTTAGTGGGTGTTGTGGTGTGTTGTGTTGTGTTAGGGGTGTTGTGTTAGTGGGTGTTGTGTTAGTGGGTGTTGTGTTGTGTTAGAGGGTGTTGTGTTGTGTTAGAGGTGTTGTGTTAGTGGGTGTTGTGTTGTGTGTTGTGTTGTGGGGGTGTTGTGTTGTGTTAGAGGGTGTTGTGTTAGTGGGTGTTGTGTTAGTGGGTGTTGTGTTGTGTTAGGGTGTTGTGTTGTGTTAGAGTGTTGTGTTAGTGGGTGTGTAGGTGTTGTGTTGTGTTAGAGGGTGTGGTGTTGTGTTAGTGGGTGTTGTGTTGTGTTAGGGTGTGTTAGAGTGTTGTGTGTTAGTGGGTGTTGTGTTAGTGGGTGTTGTGTTGTGTTGTGAGAGGTGTTGTGTTAGTGGGTGTTGTGTTAGTGGGTGTTGTGTTGTGTTAGAGGGTGTGGTGTTGTGTTAGTGGGTGTTGTGTTGTGTTAGTGTGGTGTTGTGTTAGTGGGTGTGTGTGTGGGTGTTGTGTTGAGTGGGTGTTGTGTTAGTTGTGTGTGTGTTAGTGTTGTGTTAGTGGGTGTTGTGTTGTGTTAGTGTGGTGTTGTGTTAGTGGGTGTTGCTGTATTTTGCAATTATTGGGCACACATAAGTACAAATAAAAGTTTGCATACAAGCTTGCAGGAGGCTTACATGTGTGTGTGTGTGTGTGTGTTGTTTGTGTGTGTGTGTGTGTGTGTGAAATATTCAATGTCTTACTTCTGTCAGTTTAACATGAGAAAGAAAGAAAGAATATGCGAGTGGCATAATAATAATAATAATAATAATAATAATAATAATAATAATAATAATAATAATAATAATAATAATAATAATAATAATAATAATAATATGTTAACTGTTCTTCTTTTCCTCTTCATTCTATCTACGTTTCTCCTTGTCTTCCTGTCTATCTCTCTTTTCTTTTTTCTCTCATTATTTCTCCCTCTTTCTTTATCCGTAAGTCTACATGTGTCTGTTCATTCCTTTCTGTACCTGTCTAGTTCTCCCTCTCTTTCATTTTCTCTGTCTGTCTGTCTCTCTCTCTCTCTCTCTCTCTCTCTCTCTCTCTCTCTCTCTCTCTCTCTCTTTCATTCTCTTTTTATGTCTGTCAAACTTTTATCTCTCTCTCTCTGCCAGTTTCAGTTAATCCTTGGCCTAGTAACCTTGCCAAGGTTCTGACTAAAAGGCTGGCAAGGTGCACACATTACAAGCACACACATTACAAGAAAACACACACACACACACACACACACACACACACACACACACACCATAAAGCAAACACACATACACACATTTACAAGAAAACCCACACACTCTATAATGGTTGCCCCTCGTGTAATGAGGATGGCCGGCCCCAGGGCCACCTAGGAGTGTATTAGTTTAAGGTGTAGAAACTGTCGCCAACACAACAACCTCACCCTAAGTTAACAAACAAGTTCATGACCCAGTGTCAAGGAATAGTCCAAGAAGGCCGGACAACTCGCCAACTGCATTGGCTAACCATCACCCCGGAACACGATTCGCAAATCGATTAACATCCAGGTTCCCAATTACTGTTGGGTAGACAGAGGCAAATGGCGTAGAGAAACTTGCCCATAGTTTCACCCTGCCCGGGGATCGAGGACAGGTCCACTCGCTTGCTAGGCGAGCATGCTGACCATTACACCACAGGTCGCTATATGCGCTTTTACGTACACTACACACACACACACACAATTACAAGAAAGCAATCACTCACACACACACACACACACACACACACACACACACACACACACACACACTTCACTTCACTTCACTCTAATAATTAAGCTTTAAAATGTCTAAGTGGAAACCATTAAATGAGAAGCACAAGACACGAGAAGTTAGTGAGACTATGTATGTCTTATTTGGTACGTCATGCATACTGAACATACATACATACAAACATATATGTATAGGGAAGCAATTGCAAATGTATAGTTACATTACAAATCATCGAGCGAGAGAGAGAGAGAGAGAGAGATAAAATTAGTTACATTGTCGCACAGGTATATATAGCCTCCTTGAGACAGCTTAAGTTTTGCACGTAACTGTGTGTGTGTGTGTGTGTGTGTGTGTGTGTGTGTGTGTGTGTGTGTGTGTGTGTGTGTGTGTGTGTCTGTGTTGTGTGTGTGTTTTTTTTGTTTGTGTGTGTGTGTGTGTGATGAATACAGAGTGTAAAGATTTAAAGAGAGAGAGAGAGAGAGAGAGAGAGAGAGAGAGAGAGAGAGAGAACAATACCGGGAACTCCCTGGCACTGGCACCGACCGGTTGTCACTCCCCAACCCCCCCTTCTGGCGACAAGGGCCATATTGCTCACACATCTTCGCTCGTTCTCATCTATCTACGTCCACTTCCAGTTTTCTTTACCCATAATAAACACCATTTAATACGGAAGACTATTGGTTGTTTGTAATATCATAGATACCTAATATAACAGTAATTAATAATGATATGGAGTTAATGTTTATATTTGTAGTTTTATAGAAATATTAAAAGAAAAAGGCTGAGTTTATTCACGATGTTAAAATGAGACGCTCAGGTCGTTCCACACCATCTTGGCAGAGGTGTTCATGTATTTCGTGGTAGTAGTGGTAGTTCTGAGTGTGTTAATTAACTGATGATGTTACAGGTATAAGGAAGAAGAGGTGGATGAGGAGGAGGAAGGAGTAGTCATGGGTGACGTCACAGCAACCAGGGGTATATAAGCGCGGGAGGTCGTGGCCAAACTTCAGACTGAACCCAATCGTGCTTGAGACACGTACACCAAACTCCTCATCTCGTGGATTACATTGTGCATACATGTCAACTTTGTGCTCAACCTTGACAAACACGGGCCCCGGGATGCTTAAAGGTACGTGTACTTCTTCCCTTTTTCAGGTGGATGGTGAAATGCTTTCACTAACTGCCAATGAACATATTATGTAACATCTTCATGTTATCACAAAGTTAAACTGTTTTCCTTCACCCTCACGTGATCTAATGTTGCCTTTATCTCACCATCTTCAGACATGGCTCACCTCGCCACCAACAACACCAGCAGCAACTTCCATGATATCAAAATGCTGGAGCTGCCACACCTGGAGGTCGACCGCCAATTCTATGACGTGAAGCTCCTTGCGTCCGGCTGGTACACGAAGGTCTTCGTCGCCAGGCACCTCAGGGCTGATGACAGAGTTGTGCTCAAGTGTGTCCAGAAAGGCACCACCAAGAAAGAAGATTTCTTTCGTGAGTTCCACTACAACTACTACCTCAGTCCTCACCCTTGTATTATCAAGAGCTTCCACGTGCCGTTTGACACAAACAACTCCTACGTGTTTGCGCAAGAGTTGGCCCCAGAGGGCGACCTGTCACAGCTGGTGAAGCGAGGAGGCCTTGGGGAACACCTGACAAGGCGGGTGGCGGAACAGATAGCCTTCGCTCTGGAGTTCGTACACAGTAAAGACTTAGTTCACCGTGACGTTACCTTGGACAACATCCTCGTCTTTGACCGCGACTTGTCACGCGTCAAACTGGGAGATTTTGGCAATACACAACGAGTCGGAGCCCTCGTGAAGAAGGTTAACGTCCGCGTGTCTTTCCTTCCTCCAGAGGTAAGAGAGGTCGTTTACAACGAGGGCTACCTCGTGCACACCGCCCAGGACGCCTGGCAACTTGGTATCCTCATCTTCGTGTGCCTGACGGGTTCATATCCTTGGGCGTCGGCCGACATCACAGACCGCCATTACAACTCGTGGGTGGCCTGGCTCAAGCATAAAACTACCAAGATGCCTCCACGCTTCAAGTGCTTTACTCCTCGTCTTCTTCGCCTTCTGCGATGCCTTCTGGAGCCCAAGCCCGAGAAGCGCTCAGGGGTGAGGGAGGTGTACAAATACCTGTCTGACCCCTGGCTCATTAAAGGTATGGATCCCTTCGAGATCTCCTTCGACGACAATATCCTGGACATCCCGGAAACCAACAAGAAGTCGGTACTGAGATGCGCTGAGAAGAAACTGGCTGAAATACTCCGCTCTTACTTCTGTAATCAAGAGTCTCGTAAACAAGTGAGATGCAAGAAACAAGTTCGCTTTGCTCTCGACGGTGAAGATGACGTCAGAGAAGGTGAGCATCTACCGTGAGGCCACCCACTACCTCCTTGACTGTACGCTGCAGCTGTGTCATGTACCTGCTGACCTGTAGCACTTAAGCACATGTGAAGCTCCAACTCCTGCAGGTATGGCACACACAGGCTAAACAGAGCGGCACAGAAGGTGGCATGACGTCGCCTTCACTGTGTTACGTCCTCCGTGTGGGCAGGTGAACCCACAGTTTGTGGTAACCTGCACACCTGGCTGCCAGTAATCACCTTGACATACATAGTCGTCACCACCTTGGCACCTGTGACTACTCTGACCTTACATCAGTTTTTAGGAACCTTGAAGATGACTCAAGTGTTAATGTCACTTTAAGAAGAATTATATGTTTGCATAAGTAATATAAAAAAAAGAGATTTACTTATTTTTTTACACGTGTTTTATTTTCTTATATTATCAAACCAGTAATATAGTATAGATACTAATAGAGGATAGATAGTATAGAATAATAGTCAGTGTACTCCATAATCTCTGAATCAAAGTAAAAACTCCAAAGATTAATATAAATACTTTTTATAGTTTTGTAAAGTTTCTATTTGTGAGGAGAAAGTCTACAGCTGTTTATAATATTCAGTTTTTATATAAAAATAAATGGATATATTTCTAAAAAAATAAATATTATTCCAATTCTTTATCTATTTTTCTACCTGTCTGCTTTGTTTACATGTGCTTGGTTGTTTCCATGTCTTTGTCTACCCATTTGTTTTTGTTTATGTTTTTGTGTACATGTATTCGTTTATGTTTTTGTTTACATGTATTTGTGTGTTCTTGTTTACGTGCCTTTGTTTAATTTCTGTTTACATGTACTTGTCTACGTCTTTGTTTACCTGTTTCTGTTTGTCTTTTACCTGTTTCTGTTTTTGTCTTTTACCTGTCTTTGTTTATGTCTTTCTTAAATGTCATTGTTTCAGTAAATTTAATTGTTTTTGTTTGCATTAGTCAGCTCCATGTATATTACGCCTGACTTTTTTGTTGTCACTTTTGTTTTCTTTTGTTTTACCAGAAGGTACAGTGAAACCCTCCTATAAGGGAATTTCCTCTCCATGTAAACCGTTAAATAGAGGTTTGACTGTCGAAAACAATGAGGTAAACAAAACAATAACAAAACAATGACAAACAATACGATTGGGTAAACAAAACAATAAGGTAAACAAATTAAGATAAACAAAACAATAACGTAAACAATAAGGTAAACCAAACAATAAGGTAAACAAAACAACAACGTAAACAAAACGATTAGGTAAACAAAACTATAAGGTAAATAAAACAATAGCATAAACAAAACAATATCGTAAACAAAACAATATCGTAAACAAAACGATTAGGCAAACAAAACAATATGGTAAACAAAACAATAAGGTAAACGCCATCCAAAGACTGACGCTGGTGTTGGCACAGACGCTTCATGAAATACCTTGTAATATAAATGAGATGACATACAGAGACACTGACAGAAAGACAAAAAGACACCCTCACAGACAGACAGAAAGACACTCTCACAGACAGACAGAAAGACACTCTCACAGACAGACAGAAAGACACTCTCACAGACAGACAAAAAGACACCCTCACAGACAGACAGAAAGACACCCTCACAGACAGACAGAAAGACACTCTCACAGACAGACAGAAAGACACTCTCACAGACAGACAAAAGACAAGACAGACAGAAAGACACTCTCACAGACAGACAAAAAAGACACCCTCACAGACAGACAGAAAGACACTCACAGACAGACAGAAAGACACCCTCACAGACAGACAGAAAGACACCCTCACAGACAGACAGAAAGACACTCTCACAGACAGACAGAAGAACACTCTCACAGACAGACAGAAAGACACTCTCACAGACAGACAGAAAGACACCTCACAGACAGACAGAAAGACACACACACAGACAGACAGAAAGACACTCTCACAGACAGACAGAAAGACACACTCACAGACAGACAGAAAGACACTCTCACAGACAGACAGAAAGACACCCTCACAGACAGACAGAAAGACACTCTCACAGACAGACAGAAAGACACTCTCACAGACAGACAGAAAGACACTCTCACAGACAGACAGAAAGACACTCTCACAGACAGACAGAAAGACACCCTCACACACAGACAGAAAGACACCCTCAGACAGACAGAAAGACACTCTCACAGACAGACAGAAGACACTCTCACAGACAGACAGAAAGACACTCTCACAGACAGACAGGACCCTCACACAGACAGAAAGACACCTCAGACAGACGAAAGATAACCCTACAGACAGACAGAAAGATAACCTACAGACAGACAGAAAGACACCCTCACAGACAAGACAGAATGACAGCCCACAGACAGACAAAGGCAAGACAGACTCTACAGACACAGAAAGATAACACAGACAAACAGAAAGACACCCTCAGACAGACAGAAAGATAACCCTACAGACAGACAGATAGACAGGAAGACACCTCAAGAAGACAGAAAGATAACACCTGCAGACAGACAGAAAGATAACCCTACAGACAGACAGAAAGATAACCCTACAGACAGACAGAAAGACACCCTCACAGACAGACAGAAAGATAACCCTACAGACAGAAAGATAACCCTACAGACAGACAGAAAGACACCCTCACAGACAGAAAGATAACCCTACAGACAGACAGAAAGATAACCCTACAGACAGAAAGACAACCCTACAGACAGACAGAGACACCCTCACAGACAGAAAGAAAGACACCCTCACAGACAGACAGAAAGACACCCTCACAGACAGACAGAAAGACACCCTCACAGACAGACAGAAAGACACCCTCACAGACAGAAAGATAACCCTACAGACAGACAGACAGAAAGACAACCCCACACACAGATAGACGACCTCACAGAGACCGATAAACAGACAGCCTCACAGACAGACAAGCAGCCTAGAGAGACAATCCCTAATATAGACAGCCCTACAATCAAACAGACAGACAGTATATATGTTGGCTTCTTTATTATCTATCTGCCTGTCTGTGGGGCTGTCTGTCTGTCTGTCTGTCTGTCTGTCTGCCTGTCTGTCTGTCAGTCAGTCAGTCAGCCTGTGTGTGGGGCTGTCTGTCTGCCTGTGGCTCCCTGGGGTTCCAACTAAAGACCTAAAAATCTCCTGTGTTTTTCGGTCTAGCCTCAACCAAGTGTGTTTTTCCAGGGACTTGACCTCGTTTGTGACCTTTCAGTGACGTTATGTGACCTTTCTAGAGTGACCAAAACGTCCAATAGGTCAAGAGGGTCGTTGACACACAATAACAGTCTATTTGAGGTTCTTGTTATGGAGAGGGAGAGGGAGAGAGAGAGAGAGAGAGAGAGAGGTAAATGCATAGACATCGTTAGGTGTACAGACAGATGCAATGATATTAAGTTGAGTAAGTTTATAAACTGTATTACTACACAAATTAATAAAATAGTCACTACAGATATATTATAGTATAGAGAACTGTAGTCATTTTATTCTGTAGGAGTGTCTTAGTATGTTTGGGAGTAGAGTACTGTAGTGGAGAGAAGGGCGTCTCTCTTTGTTTATATACTGACTACCTCCTTCCTCGATCTTATCCAGCATAACACACAAATCTTTCCCAATCGAGAGTCAGACAATACCTCTTGAAGGATGTGAGAGGCTATTTTTCTGCTTATTGCGGATAATTATACTATCTGGCCTCTAACTGATGTCATACGTGGAAAAAAAATCGACAAGAAAAACATAATATGGTAAATAGATGTGTTGCCAGGTAGTATATTTACGTGTTGGGTCAACGCTCGTGGTATTGAGAACTACAGGTCCATGACGTCATCGTCCCAGTGACTCTTGCCCTCAAAACTACAGTCAATAGACTAGAATTTATACTTACAAAAGATTTTCTCATAAGTAAAGAAACATAACTTACATCCAAAATTGATTTATTTACTTAGAAAGGAGAGAAACACACTTACAATTCGCTGTTATAAAAAATGAGCCCATCCTCACGATCAACATATTTACATAACGCGAAAAGTCTACTTATAAATAGACTTTTGCAAGTAAACAAACAAAACTTTCAAATTTCTTTCTATAGTTGATAAAACATTCTTACTGGAAGACAAATTAATAGGTAGGAATAGTCGAATTTTGTCGAGATTTAGAAATATTGAGGAAAATGTTTTCTCTAACTTTCTCTCAATAAATGTATCTAATAATCGCTTTATATCATGATAACTTTACCTCCAATAACGTTATCTCATGGTACAGTAGACGTGTTCTATAATAAAAATGTCTCCGTTTAAGTATCTTCAAGTAATCAGCAACAAAGCTTTACAATATAAAAAAAAAAATTAATGAGTGAATAAAAGAACTCTTTCATTAGTATATTTATTCATTAATCATGTATATATGTTGATATGTCTCTTCCTTATATATATTTAATTTATATATTCAAAATCCTATACCTTATTTGTATATTCATGACGTTATTCACATTTTTCCCTCTCATCATGTTTGACAGTGGGAAGTACGGTATATTCAGAGGTGTTATTAGAGGTGTTATTCTTCATATGGGTGTATATGTTGAATGAGAATGTCTCAGTCATTCACACCATCTGCATGTTCGCGTCTCCATGATTACACTTCATATTCACAGCTTTGAGACTAAACTTGTCAGAGCAGCAGCCAGAGACCTTACACAGATGAGCAGCAGCGACTAGAGAAGAGGTGTCCCCAGGTATCTTGCTCCAGACACGACAACGCAAAGCATTGTGACAGACGCACAAGCTGTTGACATGACCCCGAGCTGTCATGAGACAGGGTCATGGTGAGAAGAGGTCAACACTAATGAGTGCAAGGGTGTGGATGACCTCAGGCTGGGGTCACAGCATCTCCTGGAGACCAAATTTCGCCGTCAAAAGAAAACCTCACGCGTTTTTTGTTCCCTGCTGGCGGGCGGACGTCTGAGTGGTGTAAACGAGAGTGCACAAGGTCGAGAAGTTTCTCCTCTGCCCTAGAGTACAGAGACTTGCTGCTGCCGGAGAGAATTTGAGATAATTTAGCATTTATTGTGATGCCGAATGAATTAGATTCATCCATGAGCCAGGGATCAGACAGGTACTTGTACAGCTCCCTCACACCTGAGCGCTTCTCAGGCTTGGGCTCCAGAAGGCGTCGTAGAAGGCGAAGAAGACGAGGAGTGAAACATTTGAAGCGTGGGGGCATCTTAGTGGTCTTGCGTTTGAGCCAGGCCACCCACGAGTTGTAATGGTGGTCTGTGATGTCGGCCGATGACCAAGGATATGAGCCCGTCAGGCACACGAAGATGAGGATACCAAGTTGCCAGGCGTCTTGGGCAGTGTCCACGAGGTAGCCCTCGTTGTACACGGTGAGGCTCACCTCTGGTGGGGCCCAAGGTGACCGAACCTTTTGCTTCTTCACGAAGGCTCCAACTCGCTGTGTGCTGCCAAAGTCACCCAACTTGAATCGGGTAAGTTCGCAACTAAAGACAAAGATGTTTTCTGAGCAAACATCACGATGGACGAGGTCATTCTTGTGCATAAACTCCAGCGCCTGGCCGACCTGCTCTGCTACAAGTTTGGCTCGCATTTCACCAACGCCGCCCTTCATTATAAACTTGGACAGATCGCTGACTCGAGTCAATTCTTGTGTTAAGACATACGATGTGCTGGTTTCAAAGGTATCATCAAAACATTTGACAATATTAGGATGAGAACTAAGACAGTGGTTGTAGTGGCGCTCGCGGCAGAAGTCTTTTTTCTTTGTGGCCTCCTTCTGTACACACTTGAGGACGACGCTGGTGCCAGACTGGAGGTATCTGGCGCCGTAGACTTTGGCGCCGCTGTTTTCCGCCAAAAGCCGCACATCGGAGAAGTGGCAGTCCACCTCCATCCTCGGCAGCTCTAACATCTTGATATTGTGGAAGTTGACTGTGGCGCTACCCCCAACCATCTCTGTAAATAAAGAAACAAGTCAATGCTATATTGTACTGTGGATATCAACAGAAGAAACGCTTGCCCTCAACATTGACTGATTTTCTTTGGGATATTTGCATGATGTAGAAAAAGAACAGCTTTGTTTCATTGCAATACTTATGTTACATGTAAAAGCTGTTTTTCACAATGTCATTTATCCTTATCTTTGAACTAGAGGCGAGGATCAACACAGTGCCTTGAACGAGGTCCTTACCTAGAGTAACTGCTGGAGAAGTCGTAGTGATGAAGGTGTTATCCAAACTTATCACAAGTGCAGCACGTGTGTTACACTGTCAACCACAAAGAATGAAGTTCCCTTGACACTCAGAAGTACAGAGGTGTGCAATGCTGTAATTCCAGTGTGTCAGCTTGTACTTTCAGTAGTTTATACAGAGAAGTACAGTCTCTTATCCACAATATAATGGCTTGTACTGTCACGTAACACGACGTTCACTATGTGTTCCAAGTGGTGGTTCACCAAGAGAACAAACACGCAAGACAAAAGCCAGTACCTATCTCGAGGGCGGCTAGGTTCAGAGTGCAGGCTTGTTGAAGAGTCGCCAGGCTTTATATACTCCTGGTTCTCTGATGACGTCACCGATGAGCCGAGTTTACACAGTAGCTGAGACAAAAGATCACTTCCCTAAACACTCGCTCCATCTCGCTCCCAATTTGCTTCTGTCAACACTTCAGCCAACCCACTGTGAAAAAGTCAAGGATAAGTTGCCTGGCACTGTGTTGCTATCTTTGGCATCAACACGCTGACCATCCCGTCAATATTATCGTAGTCAATTATCTCTTTATATCCGGATCGTACAGTCTTGTATATGTTATGACAAATTCAGAGATCCATTTTTCACAGCTTTTTTTTTTATCTTTTAAATAGACGGAGGACAGATGTGACTTTTCCTCATCCCGTCAATGCAGCCTGTTTTAATCATATACATCTGTCGTGTGAGTCTATAATACCACACTGTTTTGAAGGTGCCTTTTTTTATGTTGTTTTTGGTGGAGGGAGGCCAGGTATAAATGGAGGGAGTGGAGGCTTGTAAACATGTCGCAGTTTCTCTCACTCTTTCTCACACACCCTCGCGCCTTTCACACCTCTTCTAACTCAAGTTATATCAACCATGACCACTTTGAACTGACGGGTCAATGTTGTTGTAGAGTTTTCTTGAGTAAATTTGGCCGAATCTAATTGGCTGTTAACGCGAGGATACTAGTTAGAGGTTAATTATAGTTTACATCTATATTTTGTTTGGATTTTATTATCGTTTCTTATTCGTATTTATCTATTAAATTATCATTGACAGAGACAGATATATTAACAGGCAGACAAATATACTGAAAGAGGGAAAGATTTACTGACAAACAAACACAGACAGACAGATACACTAATAGGCAGACAAATATATTGAGACATACTGACAAAAAACAAACAATGGCAGACATACATATACTGACAGACATACATATGTACTGAAGGAGAAAGTTATACTGACAAAAACAAACACTGACAAACAGACAAATACACAGACAGTCATAAATACTAACAGTCATATATACTAATAAACAGATAAATTGACACCAGACAGACAGACCTAACAAACAGATAGATTGAAAACAGACAGACGTGAAGCCAAAATAAATAAGGATAATGTAAATATCTTTCTCTTAGTAACTGTACACGTGTAGTAAACTTAATATATAATAACAATGACCATCAGAGCACATTAATTATTGCCTCTTGGTCTGTTGTCATGGAGGTAAGACGAGTACACACACACACACACACACACACACACACACACACACACACACACACACACACACACACACACACACACACACACACACACACACACACACACACACACACACACACACACACACACACACACACACACACACACACACACACACACACACACACACACACACACACACACACACACACACACACACACACACACACACACACACACACACACACACACACACACACACACACACACACACACACACACACACACACACACACACACACACACACACACACACACACACACACACACACACACACACACACACACACACACACACACACACACACACACACACACACACACACACACACACACACACACACACACACACACACACACACACACACACACACACACACACACACACACACACACACACACACACACACACACACACACACACACACACACACACACACACACACACACACACACACACACACACACACACACACACACACACACACACACACACACACACACACACACACACACACACACACACACACACACACACACACACACACACACACACACACACACACACACACACACACACACACACACACACACACACACACACACACACACACACACACACACACACACACACACACACACACACACACACACACACACACACACACACACACACACACACACACACACACACACACACACACACACACACACACACACACACACACACACACACAGTGACACATTCAACTAACATCATCATTTTTTTTTCATAAGTAAACTTAATTTCTCCAAGCTTTAATATTATTATGACATTCTATAAAGTCATTACTATTTAGTTATATTTATTTAATTGTATAATAGCGTTTTGTTTAGCATTTACTATTTAATGTTATTTTTTACGGTGATTTAATGGAGTCAGGCCAGAAACTAATAGCACTATAATAATGGTAAAATAAACGTGTCATCTTCTTCACACACCTCGACTGTGTAATTGGTGCCAGGAGTGCGGTACCGAGAGGGGGTGCCGGGAGGGGGAGTGCCAGGTGGTTGGGGATGCCAGGTGGTGGGGGGTGCGAGGAGGTGGGGGAGAATGGAGGGTGTCATGGGGGAAAGGCGGGAGTGCCACGGGTTCTAGGCAGCATAGAGAGGAGTATGTGGCACTGCAGGTTGGCAGTCTGATGACGTTAGCGTTTATGACACTGTTCTTGCGATTCTTTTGTAATTGTTTAGTTATATTGACTTTGTTACAGAGAGAGAGAGAGAGAGAGAGAATAAATATGGATAGATTGACAGGGTGAAGAGATAATAAGAGAAATTGACAGACAAACAGATAGATGGGCAGGTAGATCGATGGCTAGATAGCACAGGTAAACAGATGGTTAGATAAACAATGATCGGTAGTTATATGGATAGATTGAAAGCTAAGGAAACAGACACATACAGACAGAAAATAAGAGGAATAATGTTACGGTACTTCATGATTCATCTGGAACATAGAGTGAATCATTCTGCTTCATGATTCATCTGGAACATAGAGTGAATCATTCTGCTTCATGATTCATCTGGAACATTGAGTGAATCTTCTGCTTCATGATTCATCTGGAACATTGAGTGAATCTTCTGCTTCATGATTCATCTGGAACATAGAGTGAATCATTCTGCTTCATGATTCATCTGGAACATAGAGTGAATCATTCTGCTTCATGATTCATCTGGAACATTGAGTGAATCTTCTGCTTCATGATTCATCTGGAACACTAAGTGAATCATTCTGCATCATAATTCATCTGGAACACAGGTGAATCATTCTGCTTCATGATTCATCTGGAACATTGAGTGAATCATTCTGCTTCATGATTCATCTGGAACATTGAGTGAATCTTCTGCTTCATGATTCATCTGGAACACTAAGTGAATCATTCTGCATCATAATTCATCCGGAACACAGGTGAATCATTCTGCTTCATGATTCATCTGGAACATTGAGTGAATCATTCTACTTCATGATTCATCTGGAACACAGGTGAATCATTCTGCATCACGTTTCATCTGGAACATTGAGTGAATCATTCTGCTTCATGATTCATCTGGAACACTAAGTGAATCATTCTGCTTCATGATTCATCTGGAACACAGGTGAATCATTCTGCACCATGATTCACCTGGAACACAGGTGAATCATTCTGCATCATGCTTCACCTGGAACACAGGTGAATCATTCTGCTTCATGATTCATCTGGAACATTGAGTGAATCATTCTGCTTCATGATTCATCTGGAACATTGAGTGAATCTTCTGCTTCATGATACATCTGGAACACTAAGTGAATCATTCTGCATCATAATTCATCTGGAACACAGGTGAATCATTCTGCTTCATGATTCATCTGGAACACAGGTGAATCATTCTGCACCATGATTCACCTGGAACACGCAGTGTATCACTCAGCAGCAGTCCAGGAGGCTATTAGCCTCACCTAACAATACATACCCTCGCTCCCTCCACCAACTTGTCAATCACTCGACGCTATTTCTGGCTTGGGAGGGAGGGAGAGAGAGAGAGAAGGGGACGTGTTTCTTGTCCGCAATCTATTGAGGAGGTCTGCAACCCTCATTCTTCCAGCCACACGCGGCCAAGAATATTACGTATGCAGCCGGCAAACTCCGTCGAATACATGTGATGTGCCGCCGGCAAATTTGAGACGGTAGCCAAATTTTATGGGATTAATTAATTGTATTTTAGTTGAAAGAAAAATAAGAGACACGCAAAACAGAGAAAGGTGACTGAGTTCCATAATTAAAGGATTTGGTTCGTCGTATCAAACTCATATATGGTGGAAGCAGACGAGCTCAGTAACTGTCAGTCAAATATTGATGAAGCCAAGCTCGCCGAACAATGATGAAAGACACTCACTCATAGAACTACGGAGTCACTGTTAGACTTTCGGTACACCAGGAGGAGGAGGAGGAGGAGGAGGATAATAATATAATAATATAATAATAATAATAATAATAATAATAATAATAATAATAATAATAATAATAATAATACACTGTCATAAGAAACAATCATTAACTCGAAAAACAGGAAATTTAATGTAGATATGAAACAGAGAAAAGTAACTCAAAGTATTATAAACTAACAAAGTAACTCACAGAGACTACAAAAACAGGAAATACCTTGACGAGCCCCACAAAAATAACAATCACCAATTTAACTTCTATCAAGTCTCTGTACAGCTTCCAGAAATTAAGAGAAGAGGAAATACCAGAGTGACAGTGAACACATCTTTTAAGTGACGGTCAGATCTGAGTAAATCAGGAAGTTGGCAAAGGGTGGAAGGTAGTAGTGGTGAGAGTGGGCTAAGTCGGTGAAAAGTGTGAAAAGGGGGTTGGGAAAACATTATACAAGAGGAAGATGAGTAATCGGTAGAAACTGAGGAAGGAAAACCAGAAACGAGAGGGTGAGATGGATGTCATTGTCTCTACTTCCTCCTCTCCCTCTCAAATCTCTTCTCTGTATTTATTCTTTTTTAATTTTCCTTAATATCAACTTTCTTCTCTGTAGTTATGTTTATTATTATTTTCCTTCCCCTTAAAGTTGTTGTATGTACAGTCAGTTCAGCAGAGCCATGTTTAAGCAGTATTCCACCACGTGTTCTTTCTCTGCTTTTCATTATTACACGCTTGGGGACAACTCAGTCAGGATATATCACTGAGAAAGACCACCGCTACACTGCAGCCGTGTGTATTAAGTGTGCAGTATTGGGACGCACTTTTACTTATATCTCCCGCCAGACGATCGCTCGCCAGCTATTTACCTACACTCGTTCTTGTGTGACTGATATTTCACCCATTAATAGCTCATCAATTTAATATATTTTTATCAAATAACTACGTAACGTGAAAGATTTATTTTCCTGTTTACACTGAAATAGATTTATTTTCCATGACGCCTGGGATGTCAGCCAAGGGAGCCAGGCATTTCCCCTCGAGTCAGGATACGTAATAAACAAGTCTTCCGGACGAAAAAACAAAAAAAATACTTGGTAGCGGCATGACCTGGCCAACACCGCCACCACAACATGTCCCGAGGCGGCGGTGCTGGCGTCTGTAGGGTCGTGCGGCGAGTCTTGTGTCATCTGGGAGACTGCCGAGGTGTTTCCTGTCGGGTCTTGGCATTGTGTATCTCACAGTCTGTTGGTTGAGTTGAATCACCTGAAGTTTAGTACCCCCATTTATTTCACCTTAAGATTAACCACCCTAACGCTAACCAAACTCGACTTAACCTAACGCTAACTAGACTTGACTTAGCCTTATACCAACTAAACTTGATTTAGCCTTATTCTAACTAAACTTAATTTAGCCTTGCACTAACCAGACTTGACTTAACCTAACGATAACTAAACTTAACATAAACTAACGGTAACTTAACCTAACGCTAAATATACTTGACTTAACCTAACGCTAACTAAACTTGACTTAACCTAAAGCTAACTAAACTTGACTCAACCTAACCTAACTTGACTTAACCTAAAGCTAACTAAACTTGACTCAACCTAACCTAACCTAACCAAACGATAACCTAATCTGGACTAACTACTTGTAACCTAACCTAATCTAAACCCCCAAGTAGAGTGAAGGTGTTTAATCGTCAGGTGAAATATGCTAGGGGAGCTAATCTTCAGATAATCTGTAAGTAATAATGTACTTGGTTGACATATGCCTCTGAATGATCGACCAATGACCTGGAGGAAGACCATGGAGAAAAGTGACCTGCAGATGACCCGGAAATGGCCGAACAATGACCTGGATATGACCAGGGTATGACCGAACAATGACCTGCGAGAAAAGTGACTTAGAGATGACCCGGGTATGATCGAACAATGACCTGGATATGACCCGGGAATAGCCGACCAATGACCTGGAGGAAGGCCATGGAGAACAGTGACCTGCAGATGACCAGGAAATGACCGAACAATGACCTGCGAGAAAAGTGACTTAGAGCTGACCCGGGTATGATCGAACAATGACCTGACTATGACTAGGGAATAACCGACCAATGACCTGGAGGAAGGCCATGGAGAACAGTGACCTGCATATGACCCGGAAATGACCGAGCAAAGACCTGCGAGAATAGTGACCTGAAGATGACCTGGAAATGAATGAACAATGACCTGGGGAATAGTGACCTGGAGATGCACGAGGATTGACTTACCAATGACGTAAGGAGGATTAATAGTGTGAGTAACCTGTAGGATGATGATGGTAATGTACCTGACCTGACCTGCGAAGGCACGTGAGAGAACTGGGTGCTGAGTCACGTGTATCAATCGCACTGGGAGACACACCGTCGCCTGGGTGCCATGATATTGGCACCTCCCCATCTTGGCACTCCTAGGCAGAGAAAGATCTCTCTCTCTCTCTCATCCTCACGGGTACAGTTCCATTCAAAAGATCTTGGTACACTGGCGGTGAATGGTGCATAGTCTGTTGTAACCTTCCTGGATGACAGGTCACTACGCCGACCCTCCCACCAACACACACAGTGGAACAGGCGACGGAGCAATATGATTCGAACGAATACTCATCAAAAAAAGATTGGAAGGATATTAATGAGAATATCGGCCAACGATACTGCTGATGGTGATGAAGAGGTGTTAATATCTTGTTTACGAGAGCAGAACTCTATAGTGATAGGAATATCGATTCGAATATCAGAATACAATCGAAAAATTAGTTTCGAATGAACACTATAAGAAATAGTTGAAGAGAGCTCATATATCAAATATATGAAGAATCTCGACCCTGAAACCATTTGTAAGAGGTCCCTAACGTGTTTTATCACCGAAATATGACTTTCTCGCAGACTTGAAATTTGGTGGAATTAATTTCAGTAATTAGGTACATCCAGAAAAACATAAAAATGCCAACCAATCACCTTGGAAACCAATAGTTGGCAAATACTGACATAAGCATTGAGAAAAATTTCATTAAAATATTCCAAGCAACATTACGACTACTAATTATTCTGCAATCGAACTGTAGATGAAAGGATTGGACTCGAATGCTCAGGAATACCTATACTGAGATTTTGAACAAAATCGAATATATCGCGATACGTCTCGGCCATGAAAAATCTGTAAGGGGGTCCCCTTACATTATTTTCACAAATATATGCTTTTCTCTCAGTAATAAAGTACAATCAGAAGAACATAACAACACCACCCAATCACCTTAGAAACCAATAGTTGGAGAGACTGAAATAAGCAGAGAAAAATTTCATTAAAATATTCCAAGCATCATTACGACCAGTAATTATTCCGCAATCGAACTGTCGATAATAGATTCGGAAGCGGCATGCTCAGGAGTGCCTATACTGTACTGTGATTTTGAACAAAATCGCGTATATCGCGTTTTTTCACCCAAATATGATTTTCTCCCAGACTTGAAATTTGGTGGGATTAATGTCAGTAATTAAGTACATCCAGAAGAACATAACAACACCAACCAATCACCTGAGAAACCAATAGGTGACGAGTACTGAAATAAGCATTGAGAAAAATTTCATTAAAATATTACAAGCATCATTACGACCACTAATTATACCGCAATCGACTGTCGATGATAGGATCAG